CAATTGGCTGATGTCTTTACTAAGGGTCTTAGTAGTAAGGTTTTTCACCCCATTTGTTGCAAGTTAGCATGAGAGATATCTTTGCACCAACTTGAGGGGGAGTGTTAAGTATTAGTGTGTAAGGGTAGTTATGTCATTTGTTTCTTTAGTCTTTCATTATAAATATGTGTAATCCTAATATGTTTAAGAGTAAGATAATAAACACAGCAATCTCTCTGTTCTTCTCTTCTTCTTATTGTTCTTCTTTTCATATGTGAATCTAACATCTAACAAAAAGCATAAACATACTTGTTATCCTTCTATTAATAAAAGAAGTACTTTTCCTTTTATACTTATTCATATCGATGTGTGGGTCCCCTCCCCTATGGTTTCTACTTTTGGGTATCGGTGGTTTGTTACTTTTATTAATTGTTATTCCCATGTGACTTGGATTTATTTCTTCGAACTAAAAGTGAAGTGTTTTCTTGATTTCAAATTTTTCATAAAACGGTGACAAATCTTTTTAATGCTCAAATCAAAATTCTTCGGAGTGATAATAAGACTAAGTATGTTGATGGAGCTTTTCAGGCATACATAGAGGAGCATGGCATCCTTCATCAGACTAGTTGTGTTGGCACTCCTCAACAAAATGGAGTTGCTGAACGCAAGAATGGCCATCTCCTTGAAGTTGTTTGCTATCTCTTGTTTACCATGAATGTCCCTCAGTCTTTTTGGGGTGACGCTGTTCTTACCGCTATTTACCTTATTAACCGTACACCTTCCAGTGTCCTCCAATTTCAAATTCCTCTCGAACTTTTACTTGTCACTTATCCCACCCCTTATCTTCCTCAGGTTTTTGGGTGTGTCTGTTTTGTTCATCTCCAACCTCGTGCTCGTGGGAAACTTGATCCTAAGGCTGTACGTTGTGTCTTTATTGGCTATTCTGTTACTCAGAAGGGTTACAAATGCTATGATCCACACACTCGTAAAGTGTATGTTAGTATGGATGTCACCGTCCGTGAATCTGAGTCCTTTTTTACTTCTTCTCCTCTATCTCCTCAGGGAGAGCATGTTACGGATGAGATTGCGGATGAGTCATATCAACATGAGTTATCTTTTTTCCTTCTGAGTCAGCGGTCTATTATTTGTGGTGAGGGGGAGCCTAGTAGTTCTCTTGACGTGGAGCTTGACATTGGTGGTCATTTGAACAGAGCTGGTCTTAAGACTTACTCACAGCGTCAGAAAAGAACAGACTCCTCTTGTGCCACTAGGTCAATCATCATCCCTTTTGCTAGCTTTACATCCTGTTTCGGCTTATTCTCCAGGTAATGACCCTCCGTCTACTTCTCCACCAGTAGTTGATAGTTCTATTATTGATGATTTGAGTCTTCTTATCGCTCTTAGAAAGGGGGTTAGGGTTTGTACTCAACACCCCATTTCTAAATTTGTGTCATATGATTCATTATCTCCTACATATCATGCTTATGTTTCGTCTCTGTCTTTTGTGTGTATCCCACAGGGTTAGAAAGAAGCTATCAATGATCCTAAGTGAAAAGTAGCTATGGTAGAGGAAATGCAAGCTCTGAGCAAGAATAACACTTGGGAGTTGGTTCCTCTTCCTAGTGGAAAAAAACCAATAGGGGTGTAAGTGGGTGTTCACCATAAGCAGAAAACAGATGGGACAATTGAACGGTATAAAGCAAGATTAGTGGCCAAGGGGTTTACCCAGACGTATGGAATTGATTATCAAGAACTTTTTGCTCCTGTTGCGAAGATGAATTCCTTTCGAGCTCCTTTCACGTGCTACTAACTAGGGATGGTCTTTACAACAACTGGATATGAAGAATGCCTTTCTCCATTGTGACTTGGAGGAGGACGTGTTTATGGATGTACCACCGGGATTCTCATCTCAGTCTACAGTTGGCAAAGTTTGCAGGTTGAAGAAGGCTCTATATGGTTTGAAACAATCTCCCCGAGCTTGGTTTGACCGATTTCTAAAGGCTATGTTGAGATTCGAGTATAAGCAGAGCAATGTAGATCACACCATGTTTGTAAACACAATGCAAATAAGGTTGTTATGCTTACTGTATATGTAGATGACATAGTAGTGACAGGAAATGATAAGGAGGAAGTGACACATCTCAAGAGGCAATTGGCCAAGGAATTTGACATCAAAGATCTTGGCTCTTTGAGATACTTTCTCGGAATTGAAGTTGCTAGATCTGACAAAAGCATCTTTATTTCTCAAAGGAAGTATGTTCTAGATCTTCTTGGGGAAACTGACATGTTGGGTTGCAAACCTTCTGATTCGCCCATTGAAGCTAACCATCGTCTCTGTAGTGGTGTTGGTGATCTTGTGGATAAGGATAGGTACCAGAGACTTGTGGGAAGACTTATATATATATCCTATACTCGTCCCGATATTGCTTATGCAGTCGGGATAGTGAGTCAGTTCATGCATGATCCTTGTGCAACGCATTTAGATGTAGCATATCGCATTTTGAGGTACCTCAAATCAGATTTGGGAAAAGGGATTATGTTTTCAAATCATAGCCACTTGAGGTTAGAGGTCTTCACGGATGCAGATTAGGCTGGTTCTATAGATGATAGGCGATCTACTTTTGGTTACTGCACTTCTGTGGGGTGAAATTTGGTTACCTGGCATAGTAAGAAGCAAATAGTGTTGTCCAGGTCTAGTGCAGAAGCAGAATATAGAGATATGGCACATGGTACATGTGAACTTATGCGGCTTCAATCCTTGTTGGGCGATATAGGAATCATTGTGATGGACCCGTGACTTTGTATTGTGACAACAAAGCTGCTATCAGTACTGCTCACAATCTTGTTCAACATGATAGGACTAAGTACATTGAAATCAACAGACATTTTATTAAGGAGAAACTAACTAAAGGTTTGATATGTGTGCCTTATGTGAAGTCGGAAGATCAATTGGCTAACATATTTACTAAAGGTCTTAGCAATAAGGTCTTCCATCCCATTTGTTCCAAGTTGGGTATGAGAGATATATTTGTACCAACTTGAGGGGGAGTGTTAAGTGTTATAGCTATCTAAGGGTAGTTTAGTACTTTAGCTTATGTTTATGTTTATTAGCTTAAATACGTATGCTTAAGTTGTAACCCTATTATCATTGGAATAATATTACAGCAGCTACTTCTCTTTTTCTCTCTCGGTTCATTCTTCTTCCTCTTCTTCTTCATCTGTGAAGCTAACACCAACAGATAGAAGCTTTAGTGTTTCCAACTCGGCTTTTATATCTATATTCTGAAATCCACAAATTAAATTAAGCATGCAGAACAAAATGGCGAAAATTGATTCATGTAGCCAAGCTTGCTTTTGTTTGGTTTGGTTATTCTTAAATCCCGAGAATAATAGATTTTAAAAAATAAATAAATAAAGATAAAATAACTATAAAATCTGAAAACACACAACAATTCTAGCTAATAAATTGCTTAAGAGGGTGGATTTAACTATAGTTATCCAAAGGAAAGAAAGAAAAAAGAGAAATGAAAATATAAATAAAATAACAAAAAAGAAGTGGATTTAAATGGTTGCAAAGGGATCCTGTGGAAAGAGAAAAAAAAATACTCCAAGGAGCAACTCAAGGAATATCTATACAGGTGGAACAACAATCAAACCACTAATGATTAATAATCTTCAAAGATCAAATTATTCATTTAAAATTGTTAAGATTCCCTATGATGTCCAGGAACAAAAGAACTTGCTCTTGGGATATAGGTTTTAGCACAGAAATAGGACAATGCATGGTTTTAAAGTGTAAGGAACTTGTATTTTTCACAACAAAATATATGTTATATCTAATCAATTAGGTGCTCAGCTCAATAAATAGTCATGATATCCCTTTTTTGGTCCCTTTGTCTACTTGCCTAAAATCCCAATCTACTTGATCGAAAATTCTAGGTGATGTTAAAAATGTCACATGCCTCCCATTTCAACTCAAAAAGAGAAAATTGAAAATTCATACACAATAGAGAATAAGGAAAGTTGACCAAAGTTTTTGCAACCAAAACCCACTGAGACATTACCTTGATGGGTAGAAAAAATGGCCTAGGATTAGTGTTAGGTCTATATACACATTGTTTGATCCATTTCCTCGTAGCTTGGGACTGGTTATGTAATACCCTAGGTATTACCTTTGCATTTGCACATTCATGTTAAGCATATGCATTATTTTATTATTGAAGAATTAATGAAAGAAGAGAGGAGAGGAGAAAAAAGATGAGAGAAGAGAGGCAACAATATGGAAAAGAGAGAATGAGAACTAGGGTTACCTTCCTGTTCTTTTAACATTTAGGGTTATTTACATGAAGACCCCCTAAATTATTGAGAAGTATCACTTTGCCCTCTAAATTATAGAAGTGTACAAATTGGGCCCCCAAACGGAAGGAGTCAAAGTGAAGCACGCCAATAGTTTTGGGGGTCCATTTGTACGATAAGATCAAGGAAGATCATGGATCAACTTGGAGATGACACCTGTGGCTACAGCAGGTGATGGCCAAGGAGTATAAAAGCTGGGACTTCAAAGAGTAAAGGACCTGCAACCTCATTCACAAATCTGTGATATTCTAGGAGTAGCTTACAACAGTTAGAAGTAGCCATTAGCCATTGCCAAGGAGTAGTTCAGTGATACTTATCTTTTGTAGATTGGTGTTTTTCTAAGTGTTTTGCTCTTGTTGTAACAAGTGTCAAATTCATTTGATTAATATCAATTCAGTTTGTTTCTTTTCATTCTTCTTTGTTTATTTCCTCCAAAGAAGTCCTTGACATTTTCAAGGCATAGAACTCAACCACATTGCTTCATCTATTATTGTTTTGTAAAGATATGTTTTGTCTGTCGATATATTCTCTGTCGATTTGACTCAAATAAGATTTTTACTAACAATAGTAACTGAAGATTTAAGAATACCAAGAGAGAAAAACAAGCATGATCAATTAAATAAGAACTTCTACCAAGGCATCTTTTAAAGAGTGTAATCACTTACCTTCAACCAGTCATACATAGTCAATGCTGTTGTTGTGCAAGACCAATCAAGTACACATCGCAATTCATATAGGAAAGGCAGAGCACGGTAAACTCGGAAACCCATAAAATTGACTTTTGAAACACTACTTGTCAAAAACTGCCGATACAAAGTACTTTTATGGGGAATCCCATAGCGTATTTGTATGGCTTGAAGTGCCAGGGAAATTGCCTTCGTAAGATAAATGGCACGGAGTGATAATCGTCCCCCATGATTATGTGAAGGCTCCATGTGCCAAGCATATTTTGTGGCTGAATATGTAAAGAGGACAAGGGTGAAAAGATAGAAGATAACCTTTCCTGTGGCAAATGAACAAAGGTATATCACACGATCAAGCACAATCAGGAAAAAGATTACCTGCAAAAGGGAAAAAACAAAAGAAAAAAAAAAGAAAATTTAGCCACTTCAAAAAAATATATCAATATCCTAGATTCACTGACAATAGCAAAATCTTGTAACTGACTCATCCTGCCATTGACAGTTGTCTTTGTCAAATCAACATGGACACTAGTAGAATTTGTCTCATAGAAATGAGATTGGGACAGTCCATTACATATCAGAAACAAATCACAAATACTGTAAAGTCAGAGTCACATCAACTCTGGAGAAAATAGTTCGTTAAAGGATTTCTTGAACATCCCATGGGAACTTAATTTCTTCTTAACATTTTACATCTCATCTTTGATATAAATCTATCATCATGATCAGTGCTTAACTACCATCAAAACCAACAGTGAGATTAAGAAACTGATATATGGCATCAGTTCTTACCCCAGTTCCACTGATCTTTAACAGCCCTATCCCATTGATGGATTTGTAATTTCCTATGTCATGTCAATCACAATGGAGGAGTAACTCAACAAATGAGCTGACATAAAATTCTAAGCTTACAGTGTAGAATACAGTAATGTTTGAAAGAGCAAAACGTGTACAATTAAAACAAATAGAAACTCCTATGGAAATTGGTCTTCTCATTAGTAATGTGTTAAAGACAAGGAGACTTACCATTAACACAAAAACAAATTCTTTTGGAAATTGGTCTTCTAATTGATAGACTTCAAGAAAGTCACTGTTGTTCTTAATGATTGATTGGTAGAAAATGGCGACCAAGAAGAAAACAGTTAAATCTGCACAAAATACGTAGGCATACAGATCAACTTCTCTTTTCCTTCCCCCAATTACAGATAAAATGGGATATGGGAATCGTAATTCTTTCAAAATCCCTGAGTGCTTCGCAATCAAAATCTCATTGGCTACATCAGCTGCTGGAGTTAGTGACTGGTACCATTCCACTGAAATAGGCTCTGACAAAGGGGATGCATATACCACCTCAAGAACAGCCAAAGCCATACTAGGGTTTTCTGGACTCCTTTCAATGCTTTGTACTCGAACCCTGCTCGCTGAATGTGTAGTATTTTCACTCGTCTCCTTGCATCTCATGTCATAAACAATTTTCAGTAACTTGTTTATTCCTGACTCAATTCTCTCCGGCTGAATTCCATCATCTGGCCACAATTTAACTTCCATTGACAGCTGCACAAAGTAAGGTGGAGTTTCTGCTCCCTGTGTTACTGATTGCCAATATCTGTACAGTCTTCTAATCATCAGTTCTGTCAGATTTTTGACCGGTAGGAGCAGTTTATTTATTCTCTCCCCGTAAGTAGAACTTTGTACCATCTCTTCTGGGTTAAGATTTCTTCGCCTAAGAGAACTAAAGTCTGTAACTGATGCCCATTCACCATCTGTTGCAGTGATTGAGGACTGTAGGAGAGTAGATAAATACACCGAGAAAAGAGGCAAGTTGCTGATAACAAAGGATGACACGATTTTATCATTAGGGAACCCCAATTCCTCAAGAAAGCTCACCTGAATGCTGAACCCACAGTGTTGGATTATGATTTGATATACATATTGTAGCAAAATACAGATCTCAGTGTAAATCAGCATGATAACCCAGAACATGTAACTTGGGCCAGTGTTTGCACATAGTGCATACAAGAAGAGAGCAGCAAGGTAAACCATGGACAACAAACTGAAATTCCATAGGAACATCAAAACAAAGCAACAATAACAGACAATATCATTGTTTGACCGCATTTGGGCCCACATGTAACAGAATATCATACCAATTTTCGAGGAAGCACCATCAGACGTCCTCTCAAAACTAGATTGCATAGAAAATGTTTGGTCCAAAGGTTCACATCCTATGTTCTGATTGTCTACTTGATAGTAAACCCCATTCTCTGAAGAGTCATCACACAACTCTGCTTCTTCATTTTCTATGTTAAAAAGTTTCACAAGGTTGGTAACTGCCAGACTCCCAAGGGATTGTACTTGAGTAACTCCATCACCAATAAAATGTACAGCTGAAATTAATGGGCTTACCTTGGCTTCAATTTTTTCCTTATCTCTTCTGTCTGAATCCAAAAATTCATTGGTAGTAGTTTTCTCCTTGAAGTCGGCAATGTCATAAAGAGAATCAGTTGAGTGCATCATGCAGTCCATTGCTAACAGACTTCCAGATTTTACACTCGTTGAAGATTCATTTGTGTTGAATGGAAATAAAGTGTCAGAGCTGATATGTGGATCATGCTTCTTGGAATCATTTTCCTCTTTCTCTAGGATGTTGCTCTCCTTAAATGAACTTAAGGAAGACTTCTTTTTCCTTCTGCAACCTTCACTTCCAGGAGAGTTGGTACCACATGTTAAATTATTGGTCATGCTATGAACCTGAATTTGTAGGTCAAGCACCTCTGATTTCATCTTTTCCACTTGCATATTTCGCAGACGTTTCTGTTCTTCAGATTTACGGATACGTTGCAACTGTGCAGTCTTCCAGGCTGCTCGCTTCTCCTGCTGACGTATCAAGGCCTCAATCTGCTCTGCTTCCAGATATTTTGATACATAATCGAACTCCTCCGACGAAAACATATATGATTGAAGTGACACTAGCACAAATATAATGATCTCCACAAGTGCAGATCTTGATGTTATCCGAAACCCATAGTCATACTTATAAAATCCAATCACTTCATATATGTAATCTACCGTTCCGCATTTCCCCTCATTGACATCCCCAACAAAAGGACACTGGTAGGCAAGAGAAAAAACTATCAAACCAAAATTATACATTCTCAAGAACTTAAAAATTTCATTCTTCTTTTTCAGTACTTCAAGCCTCAGTCGAAAGAAAATCAGAGCAAAACCAAGATACCCCAGATGAAGAATGTCATACTCGAGGGTTCCCGTAATCAAAATCAGAGCAAGAACAAGATCCAGCAAGTGACAGTAACAGTAATGCCTCAGGTGGTCAAGAAATGTCCACATGCTTTTTGTTTCAAATGAGAGGTCAATTAATAGAGATGGTTTCTTACATTGATAACTCATTTGTTTATAACTATGCAACTCTGAGAGGCCATAGAGGTTATCAGCACGGAGTTTGAAACAAGCAAACATAAAAACCATATAATAGCTAATGAGCATTCGAGGATCATCTACTGTTATTCCTGCAGAAAAATCAGGGTATGGCCAAAGTTAACATCTGGACAGAAATCTTATTTTATGGAAAGAAAATTCATCAGTATTCTAAAACATCTGAAATTGAAAAGATTCCAAATTTCATGGAAGTAAAAGACATCATGACAGTTACCAGTGTACGATAAATGAACATGAGGTCACTTGATCATGAGATTTTCTTACTTCAAATAGATGTACAGAAATTAAGAGAATTACTTTGAATGTCATGGTTAGAGTAGCATAGACCCATTTTGCATACAATTAAAACAAAAGATTATCATTTTCATGTCTTTATTAACCATCAAAGAAATGTTTTGTAGACTCCATAAATGTCCTACAATAATCGATCCTAATTGGATAGAAACCAAAATTTCAGTGAAGTACAAGACCTAAATTTCTTTCTTCTTTTTTCCTCCTCAATAAATAACACAAACAAATAGAAATGAAGAGACAGTATCTGAGCTTTTCTATCAACCCTCTGGACCTTCTTCTCAAAGTTGAGTCAAAAATTTATTTGAATCTCATTTTGTCCGTGAGACGAAGAAAGACCAGCAAGGGTATTAAGTTGAGCTTGCTTATATTGAATCAAGTTTGTACAAAAGAAAAGTCAACCTACATAGATTAACAAAAAAATTTAGATAGTGCTGAAGAGAGATACCTAGCCAGCACTTCTTGCAATAGTTGAAGAAAAGATCAGAGCTTCTCCAGCAGTCATGGCAAGATATGTTTGCCTCACTGGGAGACTGTTCCTTCGAAGTTGTCAGATTCAACCAAATGGCTAAGTACTCAAGGGTAACAATAGAAGCAAATAAGAAGACAAACATGGGCCATAGCTTTCTAATGACATGGCGAGGTATAAGCACACAAGCAGCAAGTGATGCAATATAGAGCAAAGAGATGGCATTTAAAACAGCAAAGCTAGCAAGAAGTAATACAAGCATGTTAATTTCAAGGCCGAATAGATTGAACATATTCTCTATCCAAAACTTGATATATACTTTTAAGGTGTTCTTCTGCATGTCAAGCCTCTCCTTTTTCAATACATGATTTGACTTTTTAGTCCATTTATGATTCTCTTCGAAGCTATATGAATTGTTTCCAGTATTACTCTCCAAGCCTCCTGTTGTAGTGGATATGTGATCTCCAAGTTGAGATATACCAGTGCCAAAAGATGGCCATGAGTTGCTCATTGCTCCTTTATCCTTATATAACAGAACACCAGCATCACAAGATTCACATCCCTCATTACAAACAGAAATTCCAGTCAGTCCATTTGCTGAGCCAAACAAAGCACAGGGCTCCTCCCACTTTCCCCTTTTTCCATTATTGCATGGCATCATCTCCAGCCAATAGAATACATTGTACTGAAGTACACATGCAATAATAACCAAAATCTTTCCCCTCAAGCCTGATTCTAAACCCAAGAAACCAGGCTTAAACAGCCGCAAACCTAGGAAACAGGACAAATAAGAATGCTTTTGCCCAGGGAACATCTCAGCCTGCTCACCCCATATTTGAAACAGATAATCAACCATTAAAAGTAATGCTGAATAAACTAGAAACAGTTTTGAAGGGAGTCGAGAAGATTTTGGTAAAGTTGAACAAATGACCAAGCCAAGAAGATATAAGAAACCAAACACACTGATTGGGGATAAGGACGCATACAGTAAGGCAAAAAATAGTATCTTCTCACTATGCCAAATCAGAAGACGTTTAATAAAGGAAAAGAAGCCAAACTCTGGCGCATCAAAATCTACAGGTTTTAGGAACTTGCTCCGCCTCCGTTCATAGCTATATAGTTGCATCACAATTACAACAGCCAGGGAATCCCAAACATTTTTTAACATTGAGGCATTTGGGTTATAACCAAAGGCAGGGTAAAGATCTATCATCCTAGACAACCATGTCCGAAAGCTGATAAAAGCACTCAAGCCATAAATGAAAATAAAAATTGCAACTGCATACACTTTCAGAGGGAACCAGAGCCTCCTTTTAGTCTTCTCCACTAGTTGTCTTCCAGTAATCCACAGAAGGAGGAAGAAAAGGTAACCGAATGATGTATAATTAGGTGTAACTAGGTAAACCGTGAGAAGAATAGTCAGACACACAATGTAGGTTCCACATGATCGATATGCCAAAAGAAACTTCTGCTCCATTGCACTCAGATACAATGCTATCTTGCTTTCTGAAAGAAAAACAAGAACACAAGTTATATAGTTCTCATCAATTCATAACCTCAGTCGGTTTCATTTTAATACATAAATTAATTTTACAAATGAACTTCAAAGAGTTTCCATGGCATGTGGTTTAAATGCAGAAGTCTGAACATCGATACATCACTGTTATAATTTCTAGCTTGAAAGTAAACATAGTAAAACAGAGTCATTGATCAAAAGTCAAAACAACAGCTTCTCTGTAGTGCATTTACTTTTTTCCGTTGTTGTGGCTGTTATAATTGTTGTTGTTGTTGCTAATGATTCTAAAGGTAAATCATACTAATTTCCTTGTATTAGAGTTCAATTGCACAAACCTCTCCATCCTTCCGAAGAATCACTATCCCAAATCAAAGCTGTTGTGGCTATGGTGACCAAAGATGAAATTACCTTGGCCAATGTTACATGGACTCAAGTATGGATGCCGGGTGCGGATATGTGTCTAAGTGCCAGATTTATATACCTATGTCTGACACGGGAACACCACCTAATATTCACAAAAAGGTCATTTACAATGTCAAAAAATAAATTTATTTGGATAATTTTGGCAAGGTCAAATTGAGAGAACATATCATATTGTGTACACACACCAAGCAGTCCTCTCCCTTAATATAGTAGAATAGACGTATAGAAAACTTCTCTGCATATGATTCATTTTGATATTTGGCTCATATATTGATATCAATTAAGTGAATGTTTATCTTACTTTTGGATTCATTTGAATGCTTATTTTTTCAACGGATTTAAGATTAAAAAACCTTGAATTTTTTACCTTGAATTTTTTTTTTCTTTAAAAAAAAGTATTCTCACAAGGTGTAATATGCATAATATCGTGTTTTATACATAGTTTTATGGTTTCACTCAAATTACTAAAGATTTTTGCTAACAGAACATATCATATTGTGTACACACCAAGCAGTCCTCTCCCTTAATATAGTAGAATAGAAGTATAGAAAACTTCTCTGCATACGATTCATTTTGATATTTGGCTCATATATTGATATCGATTAAGTGGTTGTTTATCTTCCTTTTGGATTCATTTGAATGCTTATTAGATTAAAAAACCTTGAATTTTTTTTTTCTTTAAAAAAAAGTATGCTCACAAGGTGTAATATGCATAATATCGTGTTTTATACATAGTTTTATGGTTTCACTCAAATTACTAAAGATGTTTGCTAGGTGAATATCCAACTACACATGTCGGGCCCATATCCCATACCTTACGCAAGTGTGAAGCGTGCGATATAGGTATTTCATATATTTAGAAGAGTCCATGTATCATAGACTCATCAACACCATCTAAAAGCTTATTTTTTATAACAAAAGTCAACCTACTAAATAAAATTAATTCTCTCTCTACTCTCTCCCTGCCTCAAACCCCCATGTGCACCACTGTCACCACAGCCACCTCATCGCTGCCCTGCATTATCTCAGCAATGACCTCCACTTATAAAGACAACCATCCCTCTCAATCTATGGGTGTGGAAGTGTGTCGGTGAACATTGTTGGTGATAAGATTATGTTGTCAAAGATATTAGAACATATGGAGATACCATGATTTGTGCTTATTATGATTTTTTGTATCTTTGATTTGTTTCAATTCCTTAACTGAAGGGATTTGATTGTATCTCTCACTCTATATATATATAGTGTATCATGTAAACAAGTGTATCAAGTTGAGTGAATGAAAGATGTAGCCTCCTAGGGCTTTGTGTGTGTGGATGTAAGCCAAAATTAGCCGAACATCGTTAAACCTTTGTGTTCTTTCTTTTTCCTTTCATGTCTCTATTATCTCTTCATATTCAACTATTGCCTTATTACAACATTCAACTAACATGACCACCACGATTACTTCATTCAACCTGTGACCTCCAATTGGATTTGTACCTTTCTAGTTGGCCAATTTAATGAAAAAGTTTGCTACTTTCAGGTTTCAATGGGTAAAAGAGCAGTTCTATTATAAATGAAAAGGATTGCAATGGGCTTCATTTATGATAGAATGAGTTGCTTCAGAATTAGTTGATTGATCATGGATATTTTGGAGAGCAAGTACTACAGGATTTTGGGTGCTAACTTACACTGCTAATAAACCAATGGCTGAAATGCAAAGGACATCCTTAACTGGTTGAGAAAAAAAATTCAGCAGTACTCATTATACATGCCACTATCCTTCACCAACACCACTATCATATTACATACATTAACACAAATTTCCAGCACCTACTAAAATAGCCACTTCCCAAACGAGGCCTTTATCTTAATGTTGCTTTGAACTTTCTTCAAGTTTATTAGCATTTCATGAACATCTATTTGACAGTATTTGTAATTAGCTTCAACAGGAGGGAAAAAAATAAGCAATTGTTCAAAACAACCATTTAGAATTAGCAGGGGTTGAAAGTTCATGCCTTTGATGCCCAAATCATTTATCTTAACATTGGACAAACGCTACAATGAAGCATTTATAAGATTAAATTGTAGCATAAGGGACACCATGCTTCTATGAAGCACCAAAACTTCTAAGGTGTCATGTCTATGTCAGACACATGTTAAATACCAATACTTGCTGGACACTCCCCGACACACATCTAAGACACATCCAAACATGTGTAATTTAAGAGAATACAAAGCTTAGGTGATGATTATGATATCATCACCTTTTATATTAATCAATCAACTGTTACAAAAGGAAACCCTAAGGCACTGATTAAGGAATCACCTTTTATATTGATTGATTGATTGACTGATTAAGGAATCAATCAATCAATCACGATCTAATCTAAATAAGGAAATAAGAAAATATTCTAACACTCCCCCCTCAAGCTTGTGCGAAAATATCTCACATGTCTAGCTTGCCTAGAATGTCATGAAATGGTTTACTCCCAACTCCCAACTCCTTTGGTGAGAATGTCTACAAGTTGTTCGCCTGACTTCACAAAAGGAGTACATATCATGCTGCTAATGAGTTTCTCCTTGATGAAGTGGCAATCAATCTTAACATACTTTGTCCTGTCATATTGAACAGGATTGTGACCTATGTTGATGGCAGCCTTATTATCACAATATAGCCACGTAGAGTCTGTCTAGCCTATCCCCAGATCACTCAACAATAGTCTGATCCACAAGGGTTCACACACACCTTATGCCATAGCTCTAAACTCAACTTCTGCACTCGTCCAAGCCACCACATTCTATTTCTTACTCCTCCAAGTAACAAGATTGCCGCCCACAAAGGTACAATATCCTGATGTAGATCTCCTATCAGTTATTGACCCTGCCCAATTAGCACTGTATAGGCTTCCACTCTGAGGTGATCATGTTTGGAAAAATAAAGGCCCTTTTCACGGGAAGATTTCAAGTACCTTAGAATACTCATAACAGCCTTTAAGTGAATTTGATAAGGAGCATGCATAAACTGGCTAACCATACTGATAGCAATAACAATATCAAGACGAGAGTGAGATAAGTAAATGAGTTTACCCACTAGTCGTTAATAACTCCCCCTATCCACAACTGTTCCTCCTTCATCATCACCAAGTTTCTGATTAGATTCCAGTGGGGTATTGTTAAGTGTTAGGACTAGTTTGGTCTTTATGTATTATTCTTATTAGTATAAACAGTTGTGTGTAAGGGGGAAACCCTATGCTTTTGAATTAAGAGAAATACATCAGGTCTCTCTCTCTCTCTCGTTATTCTTTTTCTTCTTCTTCTTCTTCTTCTTCTTCTTCTTCTTCTTCTCATCATCTATACATTCAACATGGCATTAGAGCAATATCTTCCTCTTTGAAGATGATTCCTCTCATTCTTTAGGGTACGTCTATCGCAGCAGCAACAAAAAAAATAAATAAAAATAAAAAAAATTATCAGCATGCTCGAAATTTAATGGCTATTAACCCTGTAATCTCCTTTTGATATTTTGGTCATTCTTGATTGCTTTTTCTAATTTTTTGATTTTTCAACAATTTTGGGTGATTTTTCGAAAGTTGTTGTTTAAACCCTTTTTGCTTGGTTTTGTCCCTTCTTCTCATACCTGTGGGAGCCGACAGGAACCCTTATAGGGTTTACTGTCCCTGGTTTGAGGTATTTTGGCCCTACCTTGGCTTTTTTCTGCATTTTGGATGGCTGCTTTAGTTTTTTGGGATTGTAGGTGATCTGCTACTGTGTTCTGGGATAATCATGCCCTTTTTTAGCCTTAAAAGGTGAGTTGCTGTGCTGGTTCAGTATTTTTTGGATTTGTTTGATATCCTGCTTGTGTTTCTGAACCATCTTTGTCACATCTCATGGCTGCCAATGAGGGTAAGGGCAAAGAGGAGAGTGGACTGAGTCGTGGTATGACTCTTGGTGATAGTCCATCTCTCCAGATTAGTTCGGTCAAGATCAATGGTACCAATTACTTGATTTGGTCCCGCTCCTGCAGTCTTGCCATTGCCGCCTGACGGTTGACAAGCTATATTACTGGTAGTACCAAGCCACCTACTGAGGATAGTGCTCTATCTGCTCAATGGATTTCTGAGAATGCTTTAGTTATGACTTGGCTCATCAATTCTATGGAGCCTACCATTAGTCGGACTTTTCTCTTGATGGATACTGCTCACAAGATCTGGGTATCTCAGATGTATTCTCAATAGGGGAATGATGCACAAGCCTATGAATTGCGTAAGAAGATTAGGGGTTTGGATCAGAAGGATCGCTCTCTGGCAGTCTACTATGCTGAGTTGAGTGGTTTGTAGCAGGAGCTAGATTTCTACCAAAGTTTCCAACCAGTTTGCTCCATGGATGCCACTATGTTTTAGCAGGCTGTGGAGAATAAGCGGGTGTATGACTTTCTTGCTGGCCTGAATTTGGAGTATGATCAGATACGGGTTCAGGTGTTGGGTCGCTCTCTATTTCCTACATTGCATGAGGCTTATGCACTGGTTCAGCAAGAGGAGAGTCATCATAGTGCTATGGTGCATGCTTCTGTTCTGGATCAGTC